AAAGTATCATTAGCTGAGTTCTTATTACTGAATTCCTCAAAAAAACGCACAATAGAAAATAAACTTGGGCAGATAAATTTGCATTTCTGGTGCCTAATATATCTCCCAGCTCTTGGTAAAAACTGTATTTATTTTATTTTTTTAAATTTATTTTTTATTTTTTACAAATAGTTTATTGTCAAGTTGGTTTCCATATAACACCCAGTGCTCATAAAACTGTATTTAATAAATAAGTGGTTGAGGGCATTAATCTGTGTTTCTTGACTTTCAGGAAACTGTCTTGACATTAAGAAAAGAATTCATCCTGAAAATGACAGCCAAAATGTGATGTAATAAAGAATAGATGTGGTTTTTGTTCTCCATTCCTTACACAGAGCTTCGAAAACCCTCTGAATTTCCTAACTGATGGTCATTTGTTTTTGTTATGCTAATGAGGAAACTCAAGGGATGGGCTGGCCACACCAAAAAGAACAAGCTTGTATAGGGTTGGGACTTCTAGCCCTACTTTCTGTTTCCAACTTCTAGAGAGGGAAGAGACATTGAAGGCTGAGGTCAATCATAGTCAATGATTTAACCAATCATGCGTATGTAATGAGACCTCATGTGAAAACTCTGGACACTATGCTTACTGGAGCTTCCTGGTTGATGATCTTACTGATGTCCTGACAAGAGGGATACCCTGACTCCATGTGCTCAGAACCCTCCCACATTTTGCCTTATGGACCTGTTCAGCTGGCTGTTCATCTGTATCCTTTATAATACAATGGTAATCATAAATATAGGGCTTTCTTGAGTTCTGTGAGTCATTCTAGCAAATTTTCAAACCTGGGAGAGTTGTGAGAAGCCTTGAATTTGTAGTCATCCAGGCAGAAATGGAAGTGGCTTGGAGACACCTGAAATTTGTAGCTAGCATTTGAAATGGATTGATTTCTTGAGACTGAGCCCTTAATTTTTGAAGTCTTCACTAACTGTGGATAATGACAGAACTTAATTCATTTGTAGTATACCCAATTGGTGTTAGAGCAATCAAAGTCAGAAGGAACACCAGTGCATCTTAAATATCTGCAGAGAAGTTTCTCTGATATGGATGAAAGCAAATTAAACATTGTAATGCTAGGAATCATGGATTTTATGAGGTAGCTATATATGAGCATGAGCAAGGGAGGGGCAAAGACAGAGAGGGAGACAGAGAATACAGGCTCTGAGTTGTCAGCATAGAGCCTGATGCGGGACTCAAACTCATGAGTTGTGAGATCATGACCTGAGCCGAAGTTGGACACTTAACTGACTGAGCCACCCAGGTGCCCGTGGATGAGATTTACATTTAAACTGGTGGACTGTGAGTAAAGCAGGTTGCCCTCCAGAATATTGGTGGGTCTCATCAATCAGCTAAAGACCTGGATATAAAAAAGACTGACCTGCCCTGAGCAAGAGGGAATTCTGCCAGCGGAGCATTTTCAAATTTTAACTGCAATGTTGGTCAGCAATTTTCCTGGGACTCCGACCTGGTGGAATGGATTTTGGACTTGTCATCTTCCATAATCGTGTGAGGCAATCTCTCGAAATAAATTTTGATCTCTCTCTCTCTCTCTCCACACACACACACACACACACCCCCTATAGATTTTGTTTCTCTGGAGAACCTTGACTAATATACTACCTCACCTGACTATTGTAAGAATTAAATAAGATAATGTATTGAAAATTTTGTAAGTTTTAAAGCATTCTAAAAATTTACCTTGTAAGTTTTAAAGCATATAAACATAAATATAGTTTATAAAACATAAATGCGGTTAAGTCTACCTAGTACATGTAATGTGAACTGAACTTTGTTGAGGCTTTGTAGACATATAAGTTAATGTTTACAAATGTGGTCTTAGATCAATGTTATAAATGGATCTGAACTATCCTAGAAGAATCTATAAAGACAGTAACAAGTAGGGAGAGGGACCCATTGGATTCCTTTTCTGGACTGTTTAGCATCTGTTGTTGCAGAATGTAAACACCATGTGGACTGGAAATCTTAGTTTAGTTAGCTTGGTTCAACTGAAGTACCGTGTCTGACACGGTGCTTTGTGTAGTCCTTGTTCAATTAGTTGCTAAAAATAAGTGACTTTTATCTAAGTGATCACCCAAAAAGCACAATTTTATAACATAAAGCACTTCGGCATATAGCATATAGCAGATGGTTATGCCGTCTGAAGAGTTAAATGCCAGTTAATCATGGTCTGTATGTTAAATTAAAAAGAAGGAATTTTGGTGTGGCTGGGGATAGGCCAAAGCTATAAACTCAGTTGCCTCCATGAACAAATCCACAGCCAGACCTCACTCTTGGAAACCAATGGCTTTGCTTTCTTGGACCTCTGATGAACTTTGCATAATAGCAAGGTGCAAATATAGCTTGGAGGAAAAAATCAAGGCCGCTATACTCAATGGATACTTTTAAACTCCAGAACAGTAACTGGGATGCTATTTGGCAGCATAGCAAACACTGCCCAGTTATCACCTGTCAATTCAGATCTCTAGATGACAGCTTGTTGCAGCCAATGGCTGGTCTCAATTGCATTCACGTGCTTTGCAACTTTATGGATTGTGGTTTCTGTGGACTGATATTTTGAGACTCTGTTGTGGAAGAATATGGTTGCTTTCAAAATATTCTAGGCAAAAGCTTCAGTCTGAGAAAAAAAAGACGAGACTTCTAGTCTTCTTACTATTTCGGGAAGTATGTCATCATAATGATTTTTCCAGTCTCCTCTGGGTATGGCCAATAAAGGAAGAGAACATTAAGACAGCCTGCCTTAAATTAAAACAACAGCAGGATAGTATTTTCCACTTATAAAATTGAGGGAAAATAAAAAATAATACCCAGTATTACTGAGAATATACCCCTTGTACTGCTGATTGCAGGGTCAACTGGCAAAAAAAACAAAAAACAAAACAAAACAAAACCCCAAAACACAACAACAAAAATGTTAAAAAAAAATATGTATCCTTTGACCTAGCAATTCCACCACTAAGAATGTATCCCAAGAAAATAATCTTACCTCTGCAATGACTTCTCCATTTTCTTAGGCTAAACACAGTGTTGTTTATAATACTGAAAAACTAGAATTAAAATACATATCTAACCATGGAGAATTGCCTAAAGGAATTTTGCTACATCCTTTTAAGGAATAGTATACAACTGTTAAAAAAAAAAAAAAAGAAAAGGTTGCAGAGGGGTTCTTGGGTGACTCGGTTGAGCACTGGACTCTTGATTTGGGCTCAGGTCATGATTTCAGGGTCATGGAATCAAGCCCAGTGTCGGTCTCCACGCTGAGTGTGGAGCCTTCTTAGGATTCTCTCTCTCCCTCTCTCTCTGCCCCTTCTCTGCTTATGCATCTTCTCTCTCTCTCTTAAAAACAAATTTAAAATAATAAAATAAATAAATAAGGTTGTAGAAGAATATATAGGCATGAATAATGACATGGAAATTTGTTCATAATCAATTATTAAATTAAAAAGCAGTTCATAAAATATTATATATAAAATAACTCTCTTTGTTTAAAAATCAAGCAAAAGGATAAGCTGTACACATGCATAGAAGAAAAGGCTGGAAGACTATACACTAAAATATTAATAGCAACTATCTCTGGATGGTGATTTTTATTCGTCTCCTCTATGTTCCCCCTGACAAATTTTATATAATAAATATTACATTAGCTATTGGAGGAGGGAGGTAGCTTTAAACATTTCAAACAAAATGAACAGCCAACAAAAAGCTATGATTAATTAGTGTTTACTAACAGAAGAGCAAGAATTTTACAGAGCTATGATTAAACTTTGGCACATTCCAGGACTTTACATGCTAAGGCAGTTAGTTTAAAATGACTTACTTAAGCCTTGATGACACTGAATGGTCTTAAAAGTTTTTGCTGTTTCCATTTATTATAAAGTATTTTCTTCCCCCACTATGGTAAGCCTTGTACAGCATGAAGTCCAGGAATTAATGCAGGGAAGTGGCCTGACACCTTCATGCAAATGTTAGCACACAGATGCCACCTTGGAAATGGGAGGTTTTAGTCCATTAGCTAACACTGTCCATGCCACTAAAATCTAAATCTGTGTCTATGGAAAAGTAAATAAAGAGCTTGTAGCCTAGATCCCTACATAGACAGATCCATCAGCAGTTATTAAGGGCAAGTTAGAAATGCCTGGGGCCAATCCTTAACCACTGGGGAGTGATGATGTCATTCATGACAGCGCCCTGCCTTTTTTTCAAGTGTCCTTTGCTGTCTGTGTCAGAATGGATTGGTGGGATCATCTTGTCTATTCATGTCAGCCATCTGCCACTAATTGATGCAGCTGGCTGGGTAGTGGATTTGAAATTTTAAAGACTGATGGTGGAAATGCTGCCAGGTAGATAGTTTAGTCTGAATGAGTGCCCGTCATGTGAAATGTGACACTTTCCCCTGTCAGTCTCCAGCTGTTCCTACATCATAACAGGGAAAGAGTCACGAATATATTTATTTTTCCCACAAATGAATGAGTCAGAGATCCAGGCAAAAATCAGGCTTAAACTTTAAACCCAAAAGCGTGCCATTAGTGGCAGGACAGGGAAGATAGTTCCAGTCTAACTTAAAGCTAATCTCAGCAAATTCCCTTGTAGCTCATTCAGCCTTGCCTGGATGAGTGTTTTGAATTACATAAATCTAGCATATTCTAGAAAAATGATAGTGGCTAGAAGTCTAAGCACATTAGCTTCAGAAGGACAAGTCCAAGGATATGCATTCTTGATAGTCTCCCATAGTCCTTTAAAAACCAATAGTGAATCCAAGTTAACTCACCCTTGTGCATCACTACTATGTCTATTCTCAGAGTTTAAAAAAAAAAAAAAAATCAAAGATTGTAAAGCATTTCCCAACCAGAGATTCTCTAGGTACTTCCCCAGCCTACCATTCCTCCTGGAATGCAAATGGCCAGGTCACAGAACACGTAGCCCATTAGGCTGGCTGACTCACCTTGCTGTCGCTCGTCTTCTGGAAGCTTCAGTTTACAGGTGTAAAAACTGTTAAACAGGCAGCTGCTATCTTTTCTCTGTGTAGTAGACATGGTTCTGGCAATACTCTATGGTTCCAGTATCACTAGGACATTTCCTTCCCTTGGTCAGTCACCTAAAATGGTCTTCACCAGACAACCAGAGCCGCAGAGGTACATGCAGATCCTGTCCTTGAGTGTAAAACATTTACTTCTCTAATAAACTTCCAAGTGCTTCCTAGTCATGATTCTTGAAATAAATATTTACCAATATAACTTCCCCTACATATGAAGATGCCAATTCATTTGGATAAAAACACAGCTTAATTCTTCTTTCATTTCAAAGCACTTTGAAGTTTTCCCCTTTACAGTGTAAAATTCTACAGAGTAACTATTTCTGACCAATTACAGTTTTGGCAATTTTTTGACCCAACTGCTGACATGAAATCTAATGCCTCTAGTATTTACAGAGGACTGCTAGAATAATATATACAAAATTTAAAAGTGCTGCTGGGTTAAAGCAAGTGATTTCCAAGCCTGGTCTGAGTTACCCTCCGTGACAGCTGAAAGTGAACAGTTCTTAAGGGAAGCTGAAGGAGGAGGGGCTGAGTGAGCTAGGCTGATTAGCATAAAGAGGCAGGCAAGAAATGGCATTGGAGTTGCTTTGAATAATAGTGGCCAAAGCAGGGATTCTAAAAAGATGCCCAGATGTTACAGTAATCACGTTTCTGATTTGTGCTACTTTGTGATTAAAACAAAAGCTCAAAGCAGGGGTTTATGCTGCATGGATGTTCATTTGCACATGCAACATCTGAAGGGTATAACCGGAACTGGTAATGAGCTCATGGAAATATACTGCTGGGACTTTCAGTTTCTGTAAACACCTCTGAGTCTTCAGAAGGGGGCAGTTATAGAGCAGCCTGCCTGCCAACGCAACTATTTGGAGTTCTAGAGGACAAATAAACATATAAAGTATTGTCTTTCTAGAGACCTACCTCTGATCCCCCTCAGGCTCTCTATTTCTACTTCTAGGTCATAAACCAAAGAGATTTCTGGTGTTTTCTTGTGTTGAATATTTTATTGAAATTATAGCATATTTAATAACTGTTTAAAAAATAAACTCCAACACCTTTCATTTAACTTAGAAGACTGTTACCTCTGAAGTTTTAATGAATGCTAGTAGATTCTGCCCTTCAAGATTCATAGTTCTCTGTAGATTTGGAATAGAAGTGGTGGACTAGGATGAAGGAGAAAGGCAGAATGCTTAGCCTCCAAATCCGGGTGCTACAGTTTCCTGGGCACATTTGGAAATTGGTGCTAAACTTGAAATCCATCTGGATGGGTGTCCTCCTTCTACTTTGAGGCAATTAACTCTCCAAACATACTCTGAGTTATAAAAACTCTTATGTGTGATGGCTCTTTTATAATTACTATGATTTATTAAATCACTTTTATTATTTAATAGTCTATGAATTGCAGTTTTAGGCCTCTCACAGTACAACAGGTTACAGAAGTATTTAGCTACTTTGAAAGAGATTCAAATTATTAGAGAACTATAGTTTCTGTTTTAATGGTTGGCATTTATCTCCTGCTTCACAACAGTCATTGTGGAAAGTTGAAGTATTTTCTTCCCGAGTGACATAAAGCTATCAATATTCTGTCAAGTTGCGGACCTCACTAATAAGCACATTATTATATAAGTAAGTCAAATAACTCCCAAAACTCTAAGCCAGCCCTTGAGAGAAATGGATTCTTAAAAAAGGCTTTATAGTCAGAAGTTTTAAAAAATATATATATATATATTTGAATAGGTAGAAAGAATAGCATAATAAGCCCTATGTGTCCATCAGTGGGTTCAATCATTATCAATAATTTCAAAACATTTTTACATTTTGTTCAAATTGGACCCAAAGGTCCACATATTGTCTTTGGTTTTATATGTCTAATAAGTCTTTTTCATTCTGCAGGATTCTCTCTGAGAGAAAATGTTGCTTGGGGATTAATATCTTACATTTACCCTGATTTATGTCTGATTTTTCAAGAAAGCCCCTACATGCCTCCATTTTTATTACATATGGATGTAAAGCTTGGGAAAAGGGGGAAAAGGAACGGTCAACTGACCACAGAGGCTAAAACAGCCAGCTTTCTAGTCCTGATGCTCCATTAGTGTACTGTGTAAACTTGAACCAGGTACTTCACATCTCTGAGTTTCTGTCTTCATTTGTCAAGTGAAACAAATGTTTGGTAAATAAGGCAAGAAACTATCCAATACTTATTCTCTGAATATAAAGACCTGAAAAAAGGAGTATCTTGTTTTGTCTTTGTCTATAGCCTGAGGAGAAGGAAATAGATTTTTTAAAAAATGTTTTATTTATTTCTGAGAGAGAGAGAGAGAGAGAGAGAGAGACCGCATGAGCAGGTGAGGGTCAGAGAGAGAAGGAGACACAGAATCTGAAACAGGCTCCAGGCTCTGAGCTGGCAGTCAGCACAGAGCCCGACGCGGGGCTGGAACCCACGAACTGTGAGATCATGACCTGAGCCAAAGTCAGACGCTTAACCAACTGAGCCACCCAGGCGCCCCAAAGGAAATAGATTTAAAACAAAAATGAGTAGGATTTGGGAATGTATTTGAAAATCTAGGCCCTTGGTTTTCCAACCTAGCTGAGCACTGTAATTACTCTGGGAATGTCATAGAGATTCCTGAGTCCCAGATGCAGTGTTGAAGATATGGATGGTGTCTGAAATATATATATATATATGCATACATATTTATATTTAAACATGGTTTACATTTTATATAAATATTATATATATATATACATATATATTCTTATTTAATTTACTTTCTCCCCTCTACTTCATTGATATATAATGGACATATAACATTGTGTAAGTTTAAGTTATACAACATGATGATATGATACATTTATATCTTGAAAGATGGTTATCACTATAACATTGGTTACCACCTCCAACCTGTCACATAATTACCATTTGTTTTTTGTGGTGGGAATGTTTAAGATCCACTCTCTTAGTAACAGTAAAATATATGATACAGTAGTATTAGCTATAATCACAATCATGTACATTAGATCCCCAAACTTGTTAATCTCATAAATGTAAATTTTTACTTTTTGATCAATATACTCCCCATTTCCCCCACCCCCAATCCCTGGTAACCACCACTCTATTCTCTATTTCTCTTTGTTTTTTTTTTTTTGGATGGAATGTTTGTAAATTCCTCTTATACAGGTAAACATGCATAATCTGCTTAAATAGTCAGCTTTGCTCCATTATTTCATTCATTATACCTTTCCTGAGGGCTGATGAAACCAAATAAGAACTCCTTAAATCTAATTTCCAGTGCCACAACATTAGGGAATAGGGACAATCCAGGGGGAGACTTGCTGCCTGGTTCCTTTATGTCTCATGGTTGTGCATCATTGAGTCAGCCCTGGGCAGTGACCCTGTGATTGATTACTTGAGTTACGGAGACTCCTGGGCTCTTTCACAGCATATTGAGTCACATTTCTGCTCTGAGAGGAGTCTCTGTTTTGACTCACCAATTTCCACTGGAAATAATCCAGTATAGCTAAAAGTAATGTGTAATGGAAATATATAAAATAATATCAGCTCTATCAGCCATAGTTAGAATAAGTTATAGTAAGCCAGACCCTTATTTTTCAGAAACACTACCAAGTTAGTAGCTCATAATGGGCATATTATACTTTGCTTCTTGCTTGTAAATAAAAGCAAGGAGTCAGACTGTAGAAAGTAAAGTCTGTTTGGGTCAAAAAAAAAAAAAAACACAGGTGAATAATATTTGACATTTTTTACTTGCAATTTGATTAAACATGAATTAGAATTTCTATGAAATTCAAGCTTCTTCCCTTACCAACTCTCTGTGATGTCAAAAAGATGCCACTGTTTGGGGCGCCTGGGTAGCTTAGTCGGTTAAGCGTCCGACTTTCGCTTAGGTAATGATCTCGCGGTTCTTGGTTTCGAGCCCCGCGTGGGGCTCTGTGCTGACTGCCAGCTCGGAGCCTGGAGCCTGTTTCAGAGTCTGTGACTCCCTCTCTCTCTGACCCTCCCCTGCTCACGCTGTCTCTCTCTCTCTCCTAGAAATAAGTAAAACATTAAAAAAAAAAAAGATGCCACTGTTTTTCTTGATCTGGATTCTTCTTTCTCTCCCATATTCTCTTTGCTTGACCTGTGTCTTTGTACTCCTAGAAGGGTAGAGTGGAATGGCATATTACAGGTAAATAATTGATCTTCTCAACCACTGCGTTTGGGATGGACACTGGAAAAACTGATATTTTATAATTAGAATTTATATCTCAGAGAGCATAGTGCTTGGTTAAATAATATAAATGGTCCTTAGTTTATAGGAGATTTTTGCTTTTTCAGTTGAGCCATGTTTAAAAAGCAGAAACATATGCATTGTACACAAGTATGCAAGTGAATTATTTACTATTTATTTAATAACCTGCCTTGTTTCAAAAGTGTTTATGATATTTAGTGTACAAGTATATCTACTCCTTGAAAGTGTTCAGAGTGCTTTGAATGACAAGTGTAATATAAATAAAAAGCAGTAGTATTGCATTTATTACTCTTATCCTCAAAGAATAGGATAAAAGACCCCTAACAGGCAAACTTGAAAAACCACAAAGCCCTGGCCAGAGCCTCACTATGACCCCCAAAGCACTGCAGGGATTATTACATGGTCATTTAGTTCAAGACTGATGAACTAATGTTAAGACTTCAGATTTTCTATTGATTTTAAATAACAGATCCTCTGCTCCTCTTTGTCATTCCATGGTAGATTTTTTTTAAAAAATCACTTTTCCTTTCACAAAGACATTGTGGACAAGAGTGTAGAGTTTCAGGATCTCACAATGGCTTATGCAACATGCTTATCATAAAGCACCATCAAGGTAGGCTTTTGTGGCTATCTAGAGTTGTGTTACTCTAAGTCGCTGTATGTTTTTAGCTCAAGGAATTTCTCAGGTAGCACAGTTGGCTGGATTCCCATAATTGCTATTTGTTAAAACATAGGAGATGCAAATAGTGGTATTAGAGGTTGCTCTGCTTGAATGCTTCTTCCTCTCTATGAATTCAGGAGGCTATACTGGCATTGCACCAAACTGCTTACCTATTCAAGGTGCTCACATTCTGAAATCGCTACCATTGATCTTTAATCCACTGAACATCAACATTTGGGTCTTGGTTATCAGAAATATTGCATCACTCTATAAACATTGCCTTGGCATTTGAAACAAAATTAATTTTGGCCCTTTGACAGATGAGCCTCAGATCTGGCTGCAACAGGGCTCCCTCTGGAGGTCAGTAGAGTCCAAGGTCAGTTAGTAAAATAGCCTTGGCCTCCGCACAAAATAAACCCATGTCTTCAGAATATTACATGTCTTGTAATAGTGAGCTCAGGAAATGCTTATCTGTGTCTGAAGTTGTAGGAAAGTTACCTGTGCTGGTATTTAATCTCTGTAGCTGTATGTTTTTTTCCTGTCTTTATAGACAAAGTG